TCCTGGCTTCGGATCGGCATAGTATCGGCTGTTGCAGCTCACTTGGGGAGTGAATGATCGACAGAAGATCTTCCTCTCTGTCTCTCCTCTCTGTATATCTGCCTTTCCAATAAAAAAAATAATAAAAATAAATCTTTAAAAAAATTTACCCATTTATTACAAATCCAAGGTCTTTCATTCCAGTTGAGAATTGTAGCTAAACTGTACATGAACAAACATACTTCAAAGAAAGAACCCATTTGTTAGTGAAATCACTATGTCTCCTTTCCATTATATAAATATAGAATATAGATACATATGTTTATACTTATTTATATGGATTTATCTTCTAATACTACAACATTATTTTGTGTATTATGTATATATTTATTATCTATTCCCCCACCCCCAGAATATAAGTTCTCCAAGGGCAAGAGTCTTTGTATGTCTGGTTTCAGGGATTGATTTCATGTACCTAGAAAGGTTCCTAGAATATAGTAAGGTACTCCACCGTTTTCCTTTGCTATTTCTCATAGAGCAGATCTGCTGGCATTGTGACTTCCCCTCCTCCCCCCGGCCCATTTTTAGCTTGTCAGAAAATCTCTATATTTTTTCCATTAGTCAGACTTCTTTTAAGTTTTGCTAAAATTCTTTTCTGCTCTTACCATGCTTTCACCCTAATTCAGATGGTCATCATGTCTGTCATGGACGTTGGCCACAACTTAAAACCTAGTTTTCCAACACACCGGTTTCAGTACGCTCTAGTTCATCCTAACCTATGTTACTTTGAAAGAAATGACTGCAAATTGATCAAACAATACAAACATAATATTGTCCTTTTTCATGAAATTTTTTTAAAAGATTTATTTATTTTTATTGCAAAGTCAGATATACAGAGAGGTGGAGAGACAGAGAGCAAGATCTCCCGTCCAATGATTCACTCCCCAGGTGACCACAACAGCTGGCCGGTGCTGCCCCGATCCAACGCCAGAGGCCAGGAACTTCCTCCAGCTCTCCCACACGGGTGCAGGCTCCCAAGGCTTTGGACCATCCTCGACTGCTTTTCCAGGCCACAAGCAAAGAGCTGGATGGGAAGTGGAGCCACTGGGATTAGAACCAGTGCCCATACAGGATACCGGCATGCTCAAGGTGAGGACTTTCAGCTGCTAGGCCACCACACGGGGCCAAAATATTTTTAATGATTACTGATATGTGTAAGTTAAATCCAAACTCCCCAACATATCTGTAAATCATTTAGAGATCCATCCTTTTCGACAATTGAGAGAATATTACCACTTCTCCAGCCTTATGAAGTTTCCTATAAATTTGACATATGCATTTACCTGAACCTGGTACATTCTCCCTGTTGCTCTAGGATTTAAAATTTCAATTAAGCTTTGAGTGAGTTTGTGTATTGTGTCCAGTTATGCATTTTTAGCTTCAATTAATGAAAATATAAAATTTAACTTCATTGACTCATTTTAGTCATTTAAAAAGTCAATCTGATTGTCCTCATGTGACCCTAATCCCCGAGGCTGGTCATTCGGTGGTCCAGTGCTGAATGCAGGATGCCAAATTCAAGGATGGTAAATGAACTCCTCTAGTTCTGGAATGATTCCTGAGCAGTGGATTGGTCCCCTCCTTGAACTCTTCTATATTTCCACTGTCTAAATACAGAAACCATTGTTTCCCATTTTTATCACCTGTGGACCCAGCATACAAGAGGTCATCCCTAAGTGTTTATTGAAGAAATGAAACTCTTGGCACTAGAACGAATGTGCTGAATGTCATCCTCTTCAAAACATCTGATTTAAAATAATAACATGGTGATGCTTGGTGAACTAAATCTAACTAGATAAAATTTAACAGAAGAAGCTCTTATTTTGAAAACAAATTAGCTTTTCATTTGCATGATAGACAAGACCAGAATCAACAATATGATATGCCTTGAAACAAAACAAAGAAATCTTTCACTATATATAAATAAAGCCTGGAAGCTGAAGCAAGGGAATTGAGTCCCACTGTACTTGAACTTTTCAGATATACATGTTCTGAGATCCAGGCTTAGGTAAACAGACCCTCAGTGGCCTTACCAATCATGATCACGAAAGATTATTAGAAAATAAAAGAACACTTGACTTGAATAGACAGTGTGAGGTAGGCAAGTTGCCAGCCTGCAGAGTTGGGCTAACCTGTATCCCATAGCCGACCGCCGAGGTGTCACGCGTAGTGTAGATTCTGATCCAGCTTCCTGCTGAGGTGAACTCGGAGGCAGTGAGTGGTGGCTCACGTGGCTGGGTTCCTGCCAGTCACGTGGGACACCTGGATTGTCTTCCTAGATCCCAGCTTGGCCCTGTTCATTGTGGGGAGTGAAGCAGAGGATAGAAGGATTCTGTTCCCCCTCCCACCTCCTATCCCCCTACTCTCCGAAAGAAGAAAAAAAAAAAACGATGAATAGGAGGAAACAAGAAGAGTTAGTTTAGGGGATATAGAGTCCAGTTCACGCTAGGTCCATTGTTGATGTTTTTATATTGAGAAAGAGATCCACAGAAGTTCAGAGTTGCCTAGGTAAGCTAATGGATTCCAGCTTCGTGCTCATACTGACCCTGGAAGGCAGCAGTAGTGGCTGAAGTTTCTGGCTTCCTGCTGCCACATGGGGCAAATGTGTACTGTCTTCCCAGCCTGCTGCTTTGGCCTGCGCTAGTCCCAGCCGCTATGGGCATTTGGAGCGTGAACCAGCAGGTGAGAGATCACCCTCCATCTTTCTTTGCTTCTGAAATAAATATTTTTTTAAAAACTTACTCTGGGTGAATGTATGAAGAATGGACATGATCATGGAAGCGGAGGGTTAACATAAGAGGTTTCTGAGCAGAACAACGAATGCCAGCATTGAACTGGTTTGCCAGATTGAACAGTGTCCTCCCTAAAGTTCTTGTCCATCAGGAATCTCCAAATGAGGTCCTTGGGGCCCGGTTTGAGGCAGCCTGTATCAGAACACCAATTTGTACTCAGCTGCTCTGCTGCCAATCCAGCACCCTGATGATGCATGTGGGAAATCACCAGATGGGGGCACAAATTTTTGGGCCACTGCCACTCTTTGGAAGACCAGGATGGAGTTACAGCTCCTGGCTCTTATGGCCATTTGGGGAGCGAGGCAATAGATGGAAGACCCCTTTCTCTGTATCTCTCTGCCACTCTGCCTTTTAAATCAATACAGGCTTCATTGAAAGGATGAGATCCCTATTTAGAATCAAGATTTTTTGCAAATGTAATTAAGTTAACCTGGCACAATGGGCTAATATGGACCCTATCCGATGACTAATTCTTTTGTTAAGAAGGAAAATTAGACAATGAGATACACCCAAGAAGAAACAACATGGAGGGCCTGGCACGGTGGCCTAGTGGCTAAAGTCCTTGCCTTGAACGTGCCAGGATCCCATATGGGTGCCAGTTTGTATCCTGGCAGCTCTACTTCCCATCCTTCTCATCCAGTTCCCTGCCTGTGGCCTGGGAAAGCAGAGGAGGACGGCCCAAAGACCTGGGACCCTGCACCTGCATGGGAGACCTGGAAGAAGCTCCTGGCTTTGGATCGGCATAGTAAGAGCCGTTGTGGTCACTTGGGGATTTAATCTTCAGACAGAAAATCTTCTCTGTCTCTCCTCCTCTCTGTATATCTGATTTTGCAATAAAAAGTTAAATAAATAAATAAATCGTGGGGGGGGCGGGGAGGGGGAGAAAGAAAACAATATGGAGCCCAGGCCAGAGGATTTCAAATGAAAACAGACTGCCAGAGGCAGACAATGCATGGAGGAGCCTGGGAGCCAGGAGCAGGGTTGGGGTGGGGGAGGGCAGCCAGCCAAGGCAGCAAGAGGCAAGAGAGGCTCTCCTGACTCCACTGGCACCTTGATATCTGATTTTTTACTTCCAGAAGTGTGAAAGAACAAACTTCCATGACTCCCAGCCGGTTTGTACTGCCTAGGCAATGGCACAGCTATTCTTTTACGGTTTTCAATTGTTTAAAAAATCTAACTTTGATTCTCAGAAATGCTGTGTAACAAGACATTTTACAGATTAGAAAATGGCTTGTCTCTGCTGGTTCACTCCACATTGGACGCAACAGCCTGGCTGGACCCGGCAGAAGCCAGATGCCAGGCGCTTCGTCCAGGTCTCTCCTGTGAACAGCGGGGTCCAAGCATTTGGGCCACTTTCTGCTGCTTTCCCCAGGCGGGGGCTGGATCAGAAGGGGTGCAGCTGTGACACTGACCAGGCAGCAGCTTTACTTGCTATGCCACAGCGCCAGCCTCAAGATTTTACTTATTTGAACAGCAGAGCGTGAGTGCGCGGTTCTATGCACGGGTTTAGAAATCAGTTCCTCGTCGTTTTCTCGCTTTGATGTGGAGCACCAGAAAAGCTACTATATGTCCCGGACTTAGCGTTTCCGCAGAACAAAGCAGTTACAATTGGTGCAAAAATCTAAGCTTGGCCGTCCGGAGCGACGCTCGCAGACAGGAGCCCCCGGCAGCCCGCCGCCCGCCTTCCCCTCGGGCCCGCGCGCCCCCGCCGCCCGCCTTCTCCTCGGGCCCGCGCGCCCCCGCCGCCCGCCTTCTCCTCGGGCCCGCGCGCCCCCGGCAGCCCACCGCCCGCCTTCTCCTCGGGCCCGCGCGCCCCCGGCAGCCCACCGCCCGCCTTCTCCTCGGGCCCGCGCGCCCCCGCCGCCCGCCTTCTCCTCGGGCCCGCGCGCCCCCGCCGCCCGCCTTCTCCTCGGGCCCGCGCGCCCCCGCCGCCCGCCGCGCGGAAAGGACCCAGAGCGCCCGTCAGCTCCGCCCCAGCACGCCGCCCGGCGCGCCTGCTAGCCTGCCCGCGGGGGGCTCTCGGCCTTGACTGCCCGGTCGGTGGGCGCCCTCGCCGGGGCCCGGGAGTGGACAGACCCCAGCTATTCTCCGAGGAAGGAGCTGTGGCAGGATCCGGGCGCCGCGTTGAGTGCGGCACAGCCTGGGACAGCCCGGGCCGGGCGGTGAGGACCCCGCTGTCGCTGTGGCCGCTGCCAGACCCACAGCTGAGGCCGCTGGGCCGGGCGGGCGCCGTCCTCCTCGGCGCTCCTGACCGCCATGCCCCTCTACGAGGGCCTGGGCAGCGGGGGGGAGAAAACGGCCGTCGTCATCGACCTGGGAGAGGCCTTCACCAAGTGAGTGGCCGTGGGCTGGCCCCGGACCGCGCCCTGGGCTCTCGGGGCCTCTCCTTCCCTTCCCTTAGCATCCCTACAAATGTCTTCCCTTATTATTTCCATCATGGGCGAGCCGAGTTCTGGGGATCCCTTGGGGCGCCGGAATCGACGGGAGGATTACCTCAGTCGCCGCTTGGGGAGTTTTATCTGGGCTCGGCTGTGCGGGGATCAGCCGTGTTGTATTGCTTGCTGACCAGGTCGCTCATAAAACATGCATTGAGTGGAGCTGCCCGTGGTGTGCTGGGCTGTGGCCCCCAAGCAAGGCGCGGCATCCCAGGAGGGAGGCCGGCTGCGCGAGAGCTGCGCCCTGAATGCTGGGGTTAGAGATGACCCTTTCCGGATGCCCGTGTGAAAGCCACCAGTGCCCAAGCCTGAAGACAACCTGTGCATGGTTTCCGAGGACTGACATACTGATGGGGTCCTTGGATCCCTGTACTGGGCGCCACAGGCGGGTGTGGCAGGAGAAGTTACCTTCGTTTGTGTGAAGTTGAACTGTTTGAAAATATACATCTCACCAGGCATTGTGTAACGTGCAGTGTGTGTGAAATGTGTATTGAATTAGTGCTCAAATAGGCTGTTTAAATTTTGGACCTAAGAAGCCACAGAGTTGGATTAAGCATCCATTAGTTCATGATATTCTCTTACGCTAAGCCAGCCCTTACCTTATTTATATTTTCTTATTTATTTTATATATTTTAGTTACGTATTGTTAAAAACATGTCCTTTCAAAAACCTTTTTAAAGATTTCTTTTTTATTGCAAAGTCAGAGATATACAGAGAGGAGGAGACAGAAAGATCTGTCTGCTGGTTCACCCCCAAGTGGCCCCAATGGCTGGAGCTGAGCCAATCCGAACCCAGGAGCCAGGAACTTCTTCCAGGTCTCCTACACGGGTGCAGAGTCCCAAGGCTTTGGGCCGTCCTCGACTGCTTTCACGGGCCACAAGCAGGGAGCTGGATGGGAAGTGTAGCTGCCGGGATATAAACCACCGCCCATATGGGATCCCAGTGCATTCAAGGCGAGGACTCTAACCATTACGTTATCACGCTGGGCCCCCAAAACTTTTTTCTTATATGTTTTTAGTTATTCAAAAGGCAGAGGTACTGAGAGACGGAGATCTTGCATTTGCAGGGTCACTCCCCAAATTCCTGAAGCAGCTGGATCAAAGGCAGGAACCCATGACGCAGATTGGATCTGGGTGAGGGTGGTAGGACACCAGTATTTTAGGTCCCCTGCTGTCTCCGGGCTGTGCTGTCGCTGAGGATACTGAAACCTCCTAGCCAGGACTTGAACTTGGCACTCTGCTATGGGATGTGATTGTTCCATGAAGCATCTTAACTCTGGACTAAGCCCCTGCCCTTTGTTACCTATGGTCTTCTTTTGATATTATAATATACAACTTGAGGATACTACCCCCAGCATAATTATTTGGGCAGTACATTGAAAGATAACCAGAATGTTTTTAGACAAGGATTCTTGGAAAACCATAGCAAGGATGTGGTCAAGTGAAGAAACTAAATAGAATGCAAAGCTCCTTCACAGGGTGCCTCCTGGTAGGGATTGTTTATTTTCGTCCTGTTTGAAAGGGTTAGGGTTAGGGTTCATAGGGATGAATTCCTTCACCTCCTTGTTGAGCCCCCCAGATGCCTGTAGAAGTCAGTCTGGGTCTCCCAGGTGGGTGGAAGGGACTTGCTGTACTCAGCCACAGCGGTGCCTCCTGCCACATGCGTGAGCTGGAAGCTGGAATTGTGAGCCTGAACCTGTAGTGCGAGGACGCCATAGTGGGGTGCATGCAGCCCAGCAGCATCTTAGCCATTGTGCCTGTCCCACGCAGCACTGTGGGAGGTAAACGAGAGAGATTTGGGGATAGGAAAGAAGCAATACCAAAAGCTAGGTAGGTTGAGGATGGTGTGGTGCAACAAGCTAATCCTCCATCTGTGACACTGGCGTTCCATATAGACTCAAGTTCAAATCTCAGCTGTTCCACTTCCCATCCAGCTCCCTGCTTGTGGCCTGGGGAAGCAGAAGGGGACGACCCAAAGCCTTGGGTTCCTGCACCCGTGTGGGAGACCCTGAAGAAGCTCTGGCTCCTGGCTTCAGATGGGTTCAATTCCAGTCGTTGCAGCCATCTGGGGAGTGATTCATCAGATACGAAATCTTTCTGTTTCTAATTCTCTGTCTGTAAAATCTGCCTTTCCAATAAAAGTAAATAAATCTTTAAAAAAAGGATGATGTTAATACTGAACTGATATGTTTTTATCACATGTAACAAATATAAAGTACTATTTAATGCTCAAAAAAGTGATTTTTAAAAAGATTTACTTATTTTTATTGCAAAGTCAGAGATATACAGAGAGGAGGAGAAATAGAGAGGAAGATCTTCTGATTCACTCCCCAAGTGACCGCAACAGCCGGTGCTGTGCCAATCTGAAGCCAGGAGCCAGGAACTTCCTCCAGGTCTTCCATGTGGGTACAGGAACCCAAGGCTTGGGCTAGCCATTGTGCAGTCCTTGACTGCTTTTCCAGACCACAGGCAGGGAGCTGGATGGGAAGCGAGGCTGCCTGGCACCCATATGGGACCCTGGTGGGTTCAAGGCAAGGACTTTAGCCGCTAGGCCATGCTGCTGGGCCCGACACTGCCATAATTTTATAATGGTGTTGGAGCATTCCTGCCACCTAGTGTTTTGACTCTTTTTTTTTAAAGATTTATTTTATTTTTATCACAAAGTCAGAATATAGACAGGAGGAGAGACAGAGAGGAAGATCTTCCAACCAATGATTCACTCCCCAAGTGAGCGCAACAGCCAGTGCTGTGCCGATCCAGAGCCTAGAACCAGGAACTTCTTCCAGGTCTCCCACACAGGTGCAGGGTCACAAGGCTTTGGGCTGTCCTCGACTGCCTTCCCAGGCCACAAGCAGGGAGCTGGATGGGAAGTGGAGCTGCTGGGATTAGAACTGGCGCCCATATGGAATCCCAGCGCATTCAAGATGAGGACATCAGCAGTTAGGCCACTGCACTCAGCCTGACTTTTCTAAGCTTAGATGCACAAGTGCCGTTGTGTTGCAGTGCAGCTCGGGCACGTGCCCTGTAGCCTCATAGCCAGGGGCAGTAGCCGGTAACAACTGGGGTGTGCAGGGGCTGTTGCATGTAGGTTGTGCTGGTACACCTTGTAAGTTTCGCATCGTGATAAAATCATGTGGTGGCACACTCCTTACAATGTGTGCTTGTTAACTAGGTCAGGATTGTATTTATAAAGTCTTAATAGTATATCCAGAGTTCTAGAATTGTTTGCTTAAAAATCAGCTACAGTGTCAAACTAAGGAAAATGTGACTGCTGCTCTAAAATATTATACCGGTCTGTTTCTGTATCATTAATTGCAGAACATTTTATTTTGTTTCTTTGATATATAGTCACTAATAATATTGACTTCTTAGTTTCATTTTAGTTTAGTTTTGCCATTTGTTTGTGTCAGAAATATTTTCACATTTTTAGTTTGTTTGTAACTGTTGTTTCAAAAGAAATACAGAGAAGCATGTTGTGTGATAAGTATTTGGAAAGCCTGTTCCAAGTTGAGTGATCTACCTTTCTGTTACCTGCAGGTGTGGATTTGCTGGAGAAACTGGTCCGAGATGCATAATCCCAAGTGTCATCAAAAGAGCTGGCCTGCCTAAGGTATTTTTAAAAGCAAATTAGTAAAATAGGTTGTGTGATAACTTCAGGTAAGGTTGAGTCAGAATCCTAAGCACATACGTCATGGCTGTATTTCTAAGAGAGCTTTTTGTCTTCTCTGTTGAACTTTAGTTTTGCATATCATAAAATTATCACATATATTGAAAGCCTTGTCGTGCATGATTCTATTCTTAAATTATTCAAGATTTGGTGGACTTTGATTCCCCACATCCAAAAACACACAGAATATTTGTAATTCCAGAATCCAGAAGAATTTTGTGAAACTGTTTAAGCAGGTTTCCTGCCAGAGCTAATAAGCTTGCCAGGTGAAGTATAGCAGCCCAGTAGAGAGAATGATTGTGTATCATAAAATTCACCTGTTAAGACATGACATACAGCGCCTTCTGCTGTCACATAATACCATATGCAATCCTGAGAAAATTCCTGTTTGAAAAAAAAAGCTACACAAGATTATGGAGAAAGACGTGATAGGGTAGAAAATATAAAACCCACAGAACAGTAACCAGAGCAGAAAAAATGAAGTGTCAGGAAAGTTTCAGTCATTCAAATGTGCTGAGAGGCTTTTCTGAATATAGGGGGGGAGATAAAATAATATAAAATAGTGGCTTCTGAACGTTGGCCCCTGGGAGCTGAGGCTCCAGGCGGAAGTGGACTCTGGCCAGGAGGGGCTGCAGCCTGGGGCGGAGGGTGGGAGCGCAGGGAAGGAGCACCCCAGCTTTTCCTGGGGAGAGCTGAAAGGAGCCCTACCCGTGGGAGCAAGGACTTGATGGCTTTTCCTTTTTCATGACGAACGCTGTAATTGTGTTTCCCTGATACTGGCTTCTCTCGCCTAATAGAAGTGATGCTGCTTCAATGCAGTTCCTATGGGAGGAGTTTTTTCATCATCAGTCATTCGAAAATGACTATATGTGTAGTGGCAGGATAGAGGAAGCTCTTCTGTCCTCTAATTGACTCCCCAAGTGGCCGCAACGGCCAGAGCTAAGCCAATCCAAAGCCCGGAGCCAGGAGATTCTTCTGGGTCTCCGACATGGGTTCAGGGTCCCAAGACTTTAGGCCATCTTTGCTTTACCAAGCCACAAGCAGGGAGCTGGATGGGAAGTGGGGCCATCGGGATTAGGATCAGTGCCAGATGGGATCCTGGCACCTTTAAGGCGAGAACTTTAGCCTCTAGGCTACCATGCTGGGCCTTCATTTTTGTGCCTATCCTCAATACAGATAGCTTTGACTTGTCAGAAAACACATTCGTAAATAATTTGTAATTCTTACTACAAATTAATAATGTTAATTTTTACAGCCTATCAAAGTTGTTCAATATAATATCAATACAGAAGAATTATATTCCTACCTAAAAGAATTCATCCATATACTGTATTTCAGGTAAGATACAATTATTCTTTCTTGTTGTGGAACGTTTGTGACAGATTTTCCTAATAGCAGTCACAGTGCTTTTTGGTTGTATTAAATGTGATACAAGGAAAATTGACTTCTTTGCCATTTTTACTTATTTCCATCCTTTGCAGAAATATATTTGAAGATTATAAAACTGACAAGCATAAGGAAATTTGTGAAACAAATACAAAGATGGTTAATAAAGAGGATTGGTCATTAATTAAGCGGGTGATTGCATATTCATTCAATGTAGCTATTTGCAAAGAAGTTAAGAGATTTGTAAAAAATTTCTTCAGCAACAGAAGTAGAGAGATCTCCCCACCCCCCCAGCTGACGCTCCACATGCCTGCAGCAGTGGGAAGCTGGCAGCTTGGGGCACAGCCTGGGTCCCCCAGGTGGTGAGGGGTACAGCCTGCTGAACCAGCACCTGCTGCCAGGGGAGCAGAGCAGCGCGTCAGACAGCACCAGTCCCTGGTCTGGGACGCAGGCCTCCCAGACAGCAGCCCAGCAGTCGGGCCAAGGCCTGCCTGTTAAAGAGTTCTGCAACTGTACACTATTGAGAGAGAAAGATGTGTCAGATACATTGAGAAGTGAAAAAAGTTGAAAAATAACAGTTATGGAGTGAGACACTCATTTATGGAATGGAAAAAAAAAAACGGTTTTTAACAGTTTATTTATTTGAAAGGCAGAGTTACAGAGAGGGGGAGAGACAGATCTTCCATTTGCTGGCTCACTCCCCAAATGGCCACTGTGGCTGCCCCTGGGCTGGCTGGGCAGGAGGCAGGAACCAGGAGTTTCACCCGAGTGTCCCCCCTTGGTTGCAAGGCCCCAAGTGCCTGGACCATCTTTTGTTACGTTCTCAGGGCATTAGCAAGGTGCTGGAGTAGAAATGCAGCAGTCAAACCAATGCTCATGGAATGCCGGCATTGCTGGTGGCAGCATAACTTGCTGAGCCACAACGCTGGCCCCTGGAGTGAATATTTCTGTCCTAATATGTGGATACATGTTTCCAAGAATGAAAAGTTATACCACCATTAGTGGTAGTTTCTGGATGGTTGGAGTGTAAGTTTCTTGTACTTCCCAAGTTAAAAATATCTATGAAATGTGGAATTTTGTGAACATGTTATGTTAGTAACTTTGAAAAGCAAATGTACTTCTAATAGTTTAAGTTAGTAATGATTATTAGTTGTCTGAAATGGATTGATCCAGTTCCTGACCCTGCACATGTCACGTGGTAAAAGTCACAATGGGCATCTTCCTCCCGGCAGAAGTAAAGGTATCTTTGTCACAAAGCACCTTTGGCTGGAGTTGCACAGTTTCTCCATTCTTAGCAAATTACTTTCCAGAATTAATGGGAATTTTGTATTGGCTTTGAAAAACCAGCTGGCGTGTTTTTCAGGCATCTGTTGGTGAACCCCAGGGACCGGCGCGTCGTGGTGATTGAGTCCGTGCTGTGCCCCTCCCACTTCAGAGAGACCCTCACCCGCGTGCTCTTCAAGTACTTCGAGGTGCCTGTTTGCAAACAACAAAGCTTTTAATTTATTTCTTTATTTCGCGCTTAAATAGTGTTTCCTCCAATACTTAGATAATTGGAAGGTTCTTCTTACTAGTATTTCTATTATTTTCATGCAGGGTTTTAACAATTAACAAGGTTTCTGGTGTGTAGTTTACCATATATTTCTTTCAAGGTCATGCTAGTCATGCTGTTTAGTTATGCTGAATTTCTGAACTTTTTTCAATTCTTCAGTTTTAGGCTTTGAATTCCTTTTAAATGTAATGTCTTTCTCATATTAAGTGATTTTGATAATAAATACTTGTATCATTCATTTTAAAGGGTCAAGATTCTTTTTTAAGAACAAGAATGGTTTTTGAGATGATCACATTTCATAGTAGGCCAGAATATTTAAATTTTAAAAATCTCTACCCTGGAATTTAAGGTTTTTTTTTTTTAACCAGCAAAAAAGGGAAGATTTTATATAATATTTGTAGTATATAAGAAATTAAGCATATATAAATTATAGGTAAGGGCAATTGTAGTTTAGTAAGACACATGCAGAAAATGGGTGTACAGCCCACTGTACTGAAATGGTGTCGTAGATTCAGCGCTTCGTTTGGGAGAACACAAGGGGCATGTCGTCTCTCATCGGAATCAGGGAGGAGATTGGCTGTCTCTTCCATGGAGGAGGTTCTTTGTGTTTTCCTTGGAGGAGATTGGCTGTCTCTTCCATGGAGGAGGTTCTTTGTGTTTTCCTTGGAGGAGATTGGCTGTCTCTTCCATGGAGGAGGTTCTTTGTGTTTTCCTTGGAGGAGATTGGCTGTATCTGTTCCTTGCCATTGGGTTTTAACAGTGTTTGTGTTAGTAACAATTTGTAAGACTAGTGTTTATTGACTTAGATAAAGAAAACATGAACATTATTTTGTTTGCCATTTAATTGAGTTGACCTTCCATGTTTTGATTGGATATCCAGTGTCTCCAATCTGGCAAATTCTCAATTAATTTTTAGTTTTAATTTTTTTAATCTTTTTTTTTAAAGATTTATTTTATTTTTATTACAAAGTCAGATATACAGAGAGGAGGTGAGCGCAACAGCCGGTGCTGTGCCAATCCAAAGCCAGGACCCAGGAACTTCCTCCTGATTTCCCATACAGGTTCAGGATATCAAAGCATTGGGCTGTCTCCGACTGCCTTCCCAGGCCACGAGCAGGGAGCTAGATGGAAGCAGGGCTGCTGGGATTAGAACCGGTGCCGATATGGGATCCCGGTGCATTCAAGGCAAGGACCTTAGTTGCTAGGCCTCGCCACTGGGCCCCAAATTCTCAATTAAAAAAATGTCCACAAAGATAGGGATTTATATAGTTTTGTCCAATTTAGTCATAGTTGTTTGTTATAGTGTTTTACAATTGTAGGTTATATAACATATTTGTGAAAAAATAATCAAATTCCTTCTCTGTTTTATCTTCATAGTAAAGCTACTGCTTTACTAAAGCTTTTGACATAGCTTCTGTCTCTGAATTTTTGGACCTTGTGAGAGAGAGAACAGGAATGAATACAAATGCTGCATTGTTGTTTTGGAATGAAGTAACTTAAAAGCTTTTTGCTCCCCCATCTCCAGTGTCTTCTGCAGTATGTTTTAATTAAGTGAATTCATATGAATCACCATCCAGTTCTTAATTTAGTGCCATTAAATGGATTTGTATACTATAAATGTACGGTTCTTGTGTTTGTTTGTTTTTTTTTAATATATTTTGGTGTAAGCAGGTACTTTACTGGTGCTCATTCTGATTCTATTGCTGCTTTCTGTTTGTTTTCTAGGTTCCATCTGTCTTGCTTGCTCCAAGTCATCTAATGGCTCTTCTGACACTTGGGATTAACTCTGCCATGGTTCTGGATTGTGGATATAGAGAAAGTCTGGTGTTACCTGTATCTTTTTTTCAATAAGCTAGTTTTGCAATTTTTTAAAATTATTTATTTATTTTGATTGGAAAGGCAGATTTATAGAGAGAAGGAGAAACAGAAGTAACGATCTTCCATCTGCTGACTCACTCCCCAGTGACCACAGTAGCTGAGCCAATCCAAAACCTGGAGCTTCTTTCTGGTCTCTATCACGGGGATAGGGTCCCAAGGCTTTGGGTCGTCCTTGACTCCTTTCCCAGGCCACAAGCAGGGAGCGGGATGGGAAGTGGAGCTGCCAAGACATGAACCAGTACATATGAAATCCTGGAATGGGCAAATAAGCCATTGAGCTTCCCATTGGCCTTACCTCCACTCCATTAACTTTTTTAAAAAAAGAAATATTTATTTATTTGAAAGGCACAATTATAAAAAAAGAAAAGACAGAGAGGTCTTCACTCCTCAAATGGCAGCAGTGGCCAGAACTGGACCAATCTGAAGCTAGGAGCCAGCATCTTTCATGTGAGTGCTGCGTCCCAAGGACTTGAGCCATCCTCCACTGCTTTTCCAGATTCTTTCTAGAAGAAAAATGGATTTGAATTTAGTATCTGGGGCCAGTGTTTTGGCTCAGCTGGCTCATCCTTCACCTCCAAGTACCAGCATCTGTTATGGGCACCGGTTCATGTTCCAGCTGCCCCGCTTCCCATCCAGCTCCGCGCTTATAGTCTGGGAAAGCAAGATGATGATGGTCCAAGCCTTGGCACCCTGTGCCCACAAAGGAGGCTCCTGGCTCTTGGCTTCAGATCAGCTCAGCCCCAGCTGTTGCAGCCACATAGGAAGTGTTCCAGTGAATGGAAGATCTTTATCTCTGTCGCTGCATTTCTCTGTAAACCTAATATTGCAATAAAAATCGTTTTTTTTTTTTTTTAATGAAGTGGAGCATCTGGGATTCGTATCTGTGTTCATGTGGGGTGCCAGCACTGTGTACTGTTCCATCTCACCAGCCCCAAGAATCATTAACTCTTACGAATGAAATTAGGAACTTTGTATAGAAAGTATTTTGTGTCTAATTCTCAAAATAATCTTGCAGAGTAGTACTTTCCTCATGTGTATGAATGAGAACACTGAAAGTTAGATACATCATTTGGTCAAGTTTGTATGAGCAGATAGCCAAGATATAAAACCACTTTGGTGTCCAAAACCAATACTCTTGCAAGTCTACCTTTTTTCCTATTTAAAAATGCTGTACTCACAGAGTACCAATGAGTGTGATGCGTGTAGACAAATAGACGACAAACCCGCAGTACAACATTGTTGACCATCTTAGCTCTGTTGAATACAAATATTTTGTGAACCACACATGATTTTAAAATATGTAAGAACCACAGTTTTAAAAAGCTTTATATATTTTTATTGGAAAGTCAGAGTTACAGAGAGAAGGAGAGACAGAAAGATCTTCTGTCCGTTGTTTCACTCCCTAAGTGGCCACAACAGCCAGAACCAAGCTGGTCCAAGGTCAAGAGTCAGGAGCCTCCCCGGGGTCTCCCGCACAGGTGCAGGGCCCCAAGGCTTTGGGCTGTCCTCTACTGCTTCCCCAGACCACAAGCATAGCTGGAAGGGAAGTAGAGCAGCTGGGATATGATCTGGTGGCTATATGGGATCCCAGCAAATACAAAGCAAGGACTTTAGCCACTAGGCTATCAGGCTAGACCCAAGAACCATATATTGAGAAATCAGATTTAATAGTGTTATCTGATACATTTAAAATATTTCAATATGTACTCTATAAAATAGTAAGATTTTCTGCCTTTTCTGTTTTATTAAAATCTCCTAATTTGGTATTAGTCCTCTAAATTTGTGAATTTCTCAGAGTAGTCATATTCAGGTGCTCAATATCCTCATTCCACTAGTGGCTTGTTGTTAGAGATCTTCACCATAATTAATGAATTATGTTTGTGTGTGTGTATTTGTAACCTATTTTCTTTGGAAAGGAATATGAAAAAGACTTACTGAGTTTTTCTGTAACTTTGATAATTAAGAAATAAAAGTTAGGCACCAAAATTACCTTAGTGTATAAGGTGAGGAAACTCTGCAAGGAATCCTGTCTCACCTGCTGCAACAGTGACATCCTTGACCACCCGGCAGATCTATGAGGGAATCCCGGTGCTCAACTGCTGGGGAGCTCTCCCCCTGGGAGGAAAAGCACTGCACAAGTGAGTGTCTGCGAGCTCGCACGTCCTCTCCCCCTGCCCCAAACCTGCTGTGTAACCCAGCGATGGTGAACTGTACATTTGGATATACTCATTCCATTCTTTTAGCTTTGAGTGGAGTCATCTTTTAAGGATAAAACTTTTTATTTAAAGCTTCATAAGCTATAGTATAGGAAAAGCATCAAATAAGAGTGTCGGTTGCACAGTTTTCATGCCACTGTGTTTTCAATTTCAGGGAGTTGGAGGCTCAGCTGTTGGAACAGTGCACTGTTGACACAGGGACTACCAAGGACCAGAGCCTTCCCTCGGTGATGGGTACACAGGTTTTCTGCTGTTGAAACTCCCTTTTCCTGAACTTGTGTCATCCTTGCCGCGTTGCGTCCTCGCCCCCAGCCCCCTTCCCCGTGCCTCTTGGATAACATGGCTCCAGTGACGTCCTCACTCAGCCCCTCGTCACCACACCCAGCAGTGTTTTAATCTTGAAGGATAAGACTGAAAACATATCTGTGATCATCTTAAAAAATCTGTATTAGGTTGGCATGTTACTGGCAGCAAATTATTCTCACATCACTTTGTATGTCCTAGGTTTCTTATAAATGCTGCTACAAGATAACCAACCAACCCCTTTGGTATAAAAAAATTCTTGGGCAGTTTCTTTCAAATGATGATTACTCAACTGTATTTTAAATATTTTGTTTTTTATAAAAATGTTGAGTCTGTGACATGCTGTAGCATTTTCTGCACAATTGGCCTCAGCTTTAGTGCCTTGTCTTTGAAGGATGAGACTTCCTTTTTAAAAGCCAACCTAATGTATCTTAGGTTTAAAAAAGTATAGTAGATATTTAAAAAGTTAAATAGAAAATAACAATGTGAGTACAGTTTAATGGATTATTTTTGATTATTATAGAATTGTAATTCTGAATGAAAATCCCTTCTTTAGGTTCAGTTCCAGAAGGCATCTTAGAGGACATCAAAGGTAAATGCAGTTCCCATTTGTGTCCCTTTTGTCCTTGAGTGTCAGCTTGGAGAGCAAACGTAGGCCTAATGTAACCGTCTCAGCCATGGGAAAGAATAAGTGAATGTCAGTTCTCTTCAGATCTAAGGAAGCCCTGGCATTATTCATGTTTTACTGTGGCAGCTTCTTGGTCATACTGGTTTATAAAATAGACTGGGTTGTCAGGGAACTAGCAGTTTCACATCATCCAGTAAGAGTTACATTACTTAGAAGAGCCACTGTTTGCTTTATGGTTTGGGAGTTTCTTCTTATTTGTTTATTATTTGCTGGTGGGAGCAGGTGCCCGTCGTCTGGCTCACTCTCTGGATACCTGCAGCAGCCTAGCAGGAGTCAGGAATGCAGTCTGCTGTGTCGGGGCCGGAGCCCAAGGCCTGAGCCCTCACCTTGTCTCCCGGGGTGTGGGTGCAGACAGCTGAACTGCCTGCATTGTGTTGTTAACTCTGATTTTCCTTTCTTTTTCTTTTTTCATTTGAGAGAGAAACCATCTTCTGGTTCACTTCCCAAATGCCCCAAGCTGGGATCTAGGATTCCAGGCAGGTCTCCATGTGCATGACTGGGACCCAGCCATGAGCTGTGACTTGCTGCGTGCCTGAGTGCCCCTGGAAGGGAGTGGACTCCAGAATGGAGCCAGGCCCCAAGTCCAGGTCCTCTGCTGCACTCTGCCAGCTCCTGTGCCAGCGAGTGCCTTCACTGACTGCCAGGCCAACACCCACTCCTGGTTTTTCATCATATATTTGGGTTTTTTTTGTTTGTTTGTTTTTTAAGATTTATTTTATTTTCATTACAAAGTCAGATATACAGAGAGGAGACGAGACAGAGAGGAAGATCTTCTGTCCGATGATTCACTCCCCAAGTGAGCACAATGGCCAGTACTGTGCCGATCCGAAGCCGGGAACCAGGAACCTCTTCCGGGTCTCCCACATGGGTACAGGGTCCCAAGGCTTTGTCCCGTCCTCCACTGCTTTCCCAGGCCACAAGCAGGGAGCTGGATGAGAAGTGGAGCTGCTGGGATTAGAACCAGCGCCCATATGGGATCCTGGGGCGTTCAAGGCTAGGACTTTAGCCGCTAGGCTATATTTAACTGAATACTCAGAAATTCCAGAGTTCAGACCAAAGCATATTGGATTCAAAAGATATATTGCTTGTACTTTGCTATAATAGATTTTTATACTAACGTTCAAATTTACTTTTCTGGTATTTTTATTCACTATAAGGAAAAGCACTTAAAAGATCATTTATTATCTTTAGTACTTCTTAGCGCCTGGACTGTGTGTAAAATTAATTCTCTAGAATATTTAATCAAGAACTAGCCTATAATGGATTTCAGAGCTAAATGGAACCTAGCCCCACTTGAGGCTTTAAGATGTGAAGTGATTTATTCTTTGTCACACGTGGCTGGAAGTGGAACTGCCTAACAGACCTGCTCTTTATTACTCCCTGTGTGACATAATCCCCTCCAATCTTTTTGATTATTGAACAGTTTCAGACATTTGTAACGCTTGTTGCAGTGCTTCAGATAATACAGAAATATCTCAAACAAAATGAATAGATTTCTTTCCTTTCTTCCAGTCTCCTCTTAACATGTGTTGGCCACATGGGGTATTCATTTTTATATGACCTCCAATATGTAAAAAGATATATCCTTTTAGTTAGGGAAACATCAGCTTGGCAGAAATTGGAAAGATAAACATCCAGGCTGGGGGAAGTGGATATTTGTTACAGGCAATAAAGATTGCAGACAGTGCTTTTGGAAAGCAGCCTGCCGTATTTATTAAAATTAAAAGTGTGTATTCTGTATAAAAGGGAGACACTGAATCAAGTTTGGTTGAATACAATGCAGCTGTTAAAAGCAATCAGCTGTATTAGTTCGGAAGGATGTGCATGTGCTAAGTAAAAAGCACATTGTTGAATATTAGGCAAGGGAAGAACCTGTTTGTACTAAAAAAAATGCGCAGTACATACACATGCTCTTGTATTACCTACTATGCAGTGTAATTATCTCCAGTTTCTGAATTATTCCTAAGTAAAATCTATCTGCTTTGAACTTTTAATTCCATTTAGTTTGGTTGGTTTCACCAAATGCACCTGCCTTTGCGAAGAATCTGTGATGTAACTTTAGTGCCTAGTTCACTATCTTACCTCACTTGGTAATATTATGTTTTCTCAATAAATGGGTGTTGAATTTCACTGTATAAAACATTATGAAAAGAATTAATGACATTATTGGCATTGTTGGGGCCCAGTGCAGTCATCTAGTAGCTTAAAGTCCTTGCCTCGTATACACCAGGATCCCATATGGGCACCAGTTCATGTCCCGGTGGCCCTGCTTCCCATCCAACTCTCTGCTTGTGGCCTGGGAAAGAAGCCCAGGATGGCCCAAAGCCTTGGGACCCCACACCTGCATGGGAGACTAAGAGGTCCCAGGTTCCTGGCTTTGGGTAGGTGCAGTTCCGGCTGTTGCAGTCATTTGGGGAGTGAACCAGAGGACATAAGATCTTCCTTCCTCTCTGCCTCCTCCTATATGTATATCTGACTTTCCAATAAAAATAAATAAATCTTTTTTTTAAAATGTTGGCACTATATTCCTGTGAGTATACTTCATAAAGTTTATCAAGAAATAGAATTTTTAAGAGGCAAGTTTTATTTTGGTATAAAAAAATTTTAATTCATTTTGTGATTTTTTTTAATAATATGCATTTTTCATAAACTTTTGCAAAACCTCATATGGAAGCATCCTAGAGCATTAGTTTAGTCTAGGTGGGTTTTGTTTGTAGTTTACAGAGATAAGCTGAAGACAGAATGTGTGCTGTGACTGCTCAGGAGTGGGAGAGCTTTCAGACACAATAGACTGTGCCGCGCTCACGGTAGGGATGCGGTGTACAGTCTGAAGGGATGATGGTTAGCTGGCCCACTTGGGTAGACTCGTTTTCACCGGGACTTGAGTTCAGTTTGTGCTTGAGATCAGTAAACGACAAATTTGTTAACAAGGTCATGTTTTCTTCCTTTAAGTACGCACTTGCTTTGTAAGTGATCTGAAGCGTGGACTGAAAATCCAAGCAGCAAAATTTAACGTTGATGGGAATAGTGAGGTAAGTTGAAAGTGAAAGTGCTTTCCTTTGGGGGGTTTCAGCATATGCAGACTGAAACGCGCGTGATGCTTCTCTTTCAGCGTCCCTCACCACCCCCAAATGTTGACTACCCGTTAGATGGAGAGAAGATCTTACATGTCCTTGGCTCAATCAGGTTAGACCTTATTTTTATATACAAGCAGTTACTTCAGTAGTACCAACTTAACGATTTAACATTTTCATTTAAGACTTATTCATGGGGAATTTTATTCTGCTTTTGCAATTTTTAAAAACTAGGAAATATTATTTTTTGTTCTTAGGGTAATTGTAGTGGTGAAACCAACCATTCTGTGGACTAGAGCAGAAAGCGTGATGCTGTACTTGTGCAGCCTTTCTGCCCACGCCTTGGTGGTTCACGCAGTCTCCACAGGAGGGACTCGGCCGCAGTGGACCTGAGTCAGGCGTGGACAGTGCACGGTGTGTGGGCATGGCTAGACTCGAAGCTTCCTTGGCTGGAGTCCGCTGTTAGACCACACACACTGCCGCTGTGACATAGTGATTTATTAGAAAGAAAGTGTTACTCCAGGTACACTCAACTATGAGGACGCATCACTCATCCACCTTTTATTCATTTAAAGTTTGTAAAAATCAGGAGACGCTGGCCTGGCGTGATGGCTTAATGGCTAAAGTCCTCGCCTTTCAACCACCAGGATCCCACTTGGGAGCCAGTTTGTATCCTAGCTACTCTACTTCCGTCCCACCTCCCTCCTTGTGGCCTCAGAAAGCAGTAGAGGACGGCCCAAAGCCCAGGAACCCTGTATCCACATAGGAGACCCAGAGGAGGCTCCTGCCTCCGGGCTTTGGATCGGCACACCTCCAGCCGTTACAGCCACTTGGGGAGTGACTCAGAGGACAGAGCATCTTTCTGTCTCTCCTTCTCTGCAAATCTGCCTCTCCAATAAAAATAAATAATAAATCTTTTTTTAAAAATCGGGAGATACACAGAAAATAATTATTTAAAAGTCAGATTTTACAGAGGAGAGGTAGCAAAGGAGGTCTTCCATCCACTGGCTCATCCCCCCACAGTCCCTGGGGCTGAGCCGTCAGGAGCCAGGAGCTGCTTCTAGATCTCCCACATGGGTGCAGGGGCCCAAGGACTAGAGTCCTTCCTCTGCTTTCCCAGGCGTTAAGCAGGAAGCTAGGTCGATGTGGGCAGCAGCCAGGACATGAGCCAGCACTCATAAGGGACACTGGCATTTGAAGGTGGAAGATTAGCTTGTTTTGCCACAACACCAGTCCCAACAACTTGTTTCTACTCTAACATTTTATTACTTAAGTAATAATTACATGAGTGAACTTGAGAGAGCTTGTGGAAAAACAGAACAAAAAGACTGGTTTATTTTGATGCAAAAAAGTTGTGATGTCCATGGATAGCTTTTTTTGTTTTTTTAAGATTCAATTCTTTTTATTGGAAAGGCAGATTTACAGAGAGAAGGAGAGAGAGAGAGAAAGAAAGATCCTCCATTCTGTGATTCACCTCCCAGGCAGCCACAATGGCCAGTGCTGAACTGATCCAAAACCAGGAGCCAGGAGCCTCCTCCAGGTCTCCCACGCGGGTGCAGAGTCCCAAGGCTTTGGGCTTTCCTCTACTGCTTTCCCAGGCCACAGGCAGGGAGCTGGATGGGAAGTGGAACAGCTGGGAAATGAACCAGCACCCATATGGGGTCCCAGGCATGTGCGAGGCAAGGATTTAGCCACTGAGCCATCGCACCAGGTCCAGAGGTTAGCTTTTTTTATAATCATTTTTCCTGAACGTTTTAGAAAACCTTTTGCGTGGATTCAGTTGCAAAATAAAGAGTTAGCCAGTAGGTGGCGTCTGATGAAGAGAATTTTATATTTTGTAAAGATGTTTATAAAAGCTTTAAAATAAAGCGATCTGCATTTTATAAAATCAGAGTTTACAAAGGCACACATAGAGTTATTTTTGCAGTAAGTCAGCTTGGATTTGTTTTAGCACAAGCCTGTAAGTAGTGGCATCATCAAAACAGACATTTGTTTCTCATTTTAAACAGTCCAGAAGTCAGTATCCCCCCGCTCTCTCCTTTCAAGAGGCACCCCATTTCCCAGGTTCCTCCTGGGATGTGTTCCCCGTCCTCACATCCACCTGTTCTTTGCAAATAAAACTTCTCTGCCAAGAGAAAAATGTCCGTAGGTCCTCGCAGCCCTTGTCTTTGGGGTTCGGGGGTACGGCTGGAGTTACAGTGCAGCTGCCCTACCTGTGTGTGAGCAGGTGGTCTCACAGCTCCTTCATCTCCTGACCCCTCACCCCCTGCCTTTATTTGAAAGGTAGATCTCACTTATATATGCAGTCCACAAAATCAAGTATCTCAAAACAACACTTTGCTTTCTGTCATGAGTTTCCTGGGAGGAACTGCTGGGAACACAGTGTGCCAGGGCACAGGTACTGACAGTGGCCACCATGCCCAGAGACAGCATCCTGGTGCCAGACCCTGCTCTGTTACGCTATCGATATCTTCCCTCAACCCCTGGCGGGGGCAGAGCATCTAAAATATCTTTCCTTTTTTTTTTTTTTAAGATTTATTTATTATTGGAAAGTAGGATTTACAGAGAAGAGGAGAGACAGAGGAAGATCCATTTGCTGATCCACTCCCCAAGTGGCTGAAACAGCTGGAATTGAGCCGATCCAAAGCCAGGAGCCAGGCGCCTCCTCCGGGTCTCCCATGCAGATGCAGGGTCCCAAGGCTTTGGGCCATACTCAACAGCCTTCCCAACCACAGGCAGGGAGGTGGATGGGATTAGAGCAGCTGGGCCGTCAACTGGCACCCATATGGGATCCTAGCACGTGCAAGCCGAGGATTTACCCACTAGGCTGCTGCGCCAGGCCACATCAATGATATCTTACATTTTAATGATTGCTCTGTATTAAGATGGTATTACTATTTGGAAATATTGCTCTTACAAAACTAATGGTATTTTCTGTATCATATGACACCAATAATGCTCTCTCCACTTCTTAATGTCATCAGAGATTCAGTAGTGGAAATCCTTTTTGAACAAGACAATGAAGAGAAATCAGTTGCCACCTTAATACTGGATTCCCTTATACAGGTATTTTTATTTTATAAATGTTTCCCTTTATCATGGTAGTCCTGTAATGAACATTTGAGAATGTTATTTTCCATTTTTTTGTTTTAGCCATTTTAGGCAACTAGTAGTTTTTGTCATATATTATTTTAAGAACAAGGAAATGTAAGAGGGAAGGAGGGATTGCTTCTGACCCTCTTACACGTGAACCGACCTGCCTTCCCAGGCCTGTTCAGAATAGTTGCCCTTTCTTAGACTTCGGTTGTTGTACTGTTTACACTTTTCCTTTAGCGCGGGGTTGCAGTCCCTGCATCATGTCAGATGGGGTGTGAGCACTTGGGGCTCAGCCCTGAGTGGCTGGTGACTCCTTCAGCATCCATCCGGCCTGTGGGCAGTGTGCCCTGCTAAAGGCTGCAGTCCTGGGGCTCCACGAGCGCCCCTCGCCTGGAAAGGGCTTCATCTGCCTCTTGGTCTCCGCTCAGGGAAGGACCTTATCATCTCCAGTTCCTAAAACCGATGAGGGACGTAATGTTAAAGATGTATTTATTTACTTGAAAGGTCCAAATGACAGAGTGAGAGAAAGAACTGTCTCTCATCTTTGGGTTCACCCCCCCAAATGCTCATCACAGTCAGGGCTGGGGCAGGCTAAGAGAGGAGCCAGAAACCCCCCCAGGGCTCCCAGTTGGGTGGCAAAGACCCGAACAGTTGAGTCAGCTTCCCCTCATCGGAGGCACGCAGCCACGTCACAGCCATGTGGCAATCCCAAAGTGCAGCACCGTCGGCCACAGCACATCAGCCCCTGGAGACGTGCCTTGTCTCTGAGGATGTGCTTGCTTTCCCGTTCAGCAAGTGTCTCAGTAATACAGTGGAGGGATGCCTGAGCACTTCCCATAGCTTTCATGCTAGGAAAAGTTCTTTCGTGTATTCTGCACAACTTAGACACTTTACCTGGAAAATAAAAATAACTTGTACATTTGTATATTATTGCCGTATCTCCTGTTTAATTTAAAATTCTATACCTTTAGATATTACAATAGTATTCTTTAAAGTGATGCGTATGAAAGCATTGCAGTTTTATTTGTAATAGAAGAAGTCCTTGTTTTTCTTTCTCTAATCACAGTGCCCAATAGACACCAGGAAGCAGCTGGCAGAGAACTTGGTAGTCATAGGTGGCACGTCCATGCTGCCGGGATTTCTCCACAGATTGCTTGCAGAAATACGGTATTTGGTAGAAAAGCCAAAATATAAAAAGGCACTTGGCACCAAGACATTCCGAATTCATACTCCGCCTGCAAAGGCTAACTGTGTGGCTTGGCTGGGAGGTAGGACTGTTTCTAAATATGATTATCGCTTCTTGAATGACATTATTACAGAATATGGAGAACAGATGATGCAGTGTTCAGTAGTGGCCACTCAACAAATGGAACTATTAAATTCTGAAATCATATCAATCTTGGGGGTTATCTACCTGTTGCTCTGGGCGTTAGTACTGTGAATTTTGAGCACATTTCTTTATTCCCTGAAAGTCATTCCTCAGAATAGTGGAAGTAATGAATTTATTCCAGTGAATGTAACTTTGGACTTCCTTCCAAAGCTGATGAGCCCCTTATGAAACCTGTTCTCATCTCCATTCCACTTGGGACTGAGTTCTTAGGATGGAGTTAGTGCTGGTGGATGTCGGGATTATAGATTCAGAGAGAAATTGGACCAAAGGATTTCATAATAGAAAATGTTTTTTAAATGCTATTGTGGGTCTTCTTGGGTCTGTAGTATGAAATTTGAGGACATTTTAATGATGCTTACTAGATTTTGGTGTGCCATTTCACTTCTTCATTTTGAAGTTACAGCAAAGAAAATTATCTTTTTTTTTTTAATTAACACAATTGGAAATACTTTCCACCTCACTTTGTTCATTTGTGTTTAAAAGTGAACTCATTTAATCATGACTAATCTGCTGGAAGATTTTACTTTAGAAGTTTTACTGAGGAGTTATGGCTTATTCAAAACATAAGGTACAGAACAGCTTAGATTGAATCTGAAGACCATACTTACGCATTGCTGAATTGTACTAATCCATTGTTGCCATTTCATAAAGTGTAAGTCGGGATGCAGAACGCTTTCTGGTTTTCATCTTAGCTGTAAAAATGTTTTTACCACACAGGAGCTATTTTTGGAGCATTGCAAGACATACTTGGGAGCCGGTCGGTTTCAAAGGAGTATTACAACCAGACCGGCCGAATTCCTGATTGGTGTTCTCTGAACAACCCACCTTTGGAAATGATGTTCGACGTTGGGAAAGCCCAGCCGCCTCTGATGAAGAGAGCGTTTTCCACTGAGAAATAAGTCTGACTGCAACTTAATGTTGCTTCATTTAAAATAATCAGTTACAAATTGTACAACTTAGATAGGATGCTTGTTAACAGACTAGTGTCAGACAAGTGTGAAGAACTCTGTACTTGCTCTTCGCATTAATATTTAGTTCTTTTGACTTTGTTTTCCTTGTGTAATGTAAAAGGGTAGTTGGTCCGTATGATATGTTGTATTTATGTCAATAAAATACTGAAAAGCAGATTGACTTTGGAAGTTTGTTATACAGTAGTACATTTTCTTTTTCTTTTTTTTTTTTTATAAGATTTATTTATTGGAAAGGCAAACATACACAGAGGGGAGAGCAGAAAGATCCTCCATCCACTGGTCCACTCCCCACGTGGCCTTAATGGCCAGAGCCAAGCTGATATTAAGTCAGGAGCCAGGAGCTTCTTCCGGGTCTCCCATGTGTGTGCAGGAGCCCAAGGCCTTGGGCTGTCCTCTACTGCATTCCCAAGTCGCAAACAGGAAGCTGAAAGGGAGGTGGAACAGCCAAGACATGAACCTGTGGCCATATGGCCATATGGCCATATCCTGGCATGTGCAAGGAAAGGATTTAGCTACTAGGCTATTGCACTGGTCCCACAGTACATTTTCAAAAAAAAAAAGCCAACATTGTTCCTCCACAATTCTATTTATTACAAATACTAACAGTCCTCTTTTTAAAATCCTTTGATTTGGTATTTGCACATATCCATGTAAAATTAATGCTGTTTTCTTAGAAATAGACTGGGACTATTGATAGCTTAGTCAGATATTTGTCAAACAAAATGTGGAAATGTTCATTTTTTAATTTCAGTTTCTTTTATGAACAATTCTACCTTTTCAGTCAGAGAGACAGAGAGGGATCTTTATGCACTGGTTCACTCCCCAAATGGCCACTACAGACACAGCTGGGCCTGGCCATAGCTGGGAGCCGGGGCTTCTTCCAGGTCTCCCACGTGGGTGCAGGTCCCAAGGCTCTGGGCCGTCCCCTACTGCCTTCCCAGGCCACAAGCAGGGAGCTGGATGGGCAGTGGAGCAGCCGGGACATGCAGCAGTGCCCACATAGGATCCTGGGTGTGCAAGGTGAGGACTTAACTGCTAGGTATTGCGCTTGGCCCAAATAAGTAAATCTTTCTTAAAAAGGAAAAGAAAAAGAGATTTTTTTATATATAAAACTACAACTGCTTTGTAAATGTGTGTTTGTAATGTTGTTAGCCTTCCTTTTTGTACTTTATATCATCCAGGCAGAGGTTTTCTTTTTCTTCATTTGTTGTGAATTGCCTCTTGTTAGAATTGTGCTGCTGTCATTCTTTCTAGATACCGCACGTATTTATAATCCAGAAGAAACTGACACATTTCACTCCATGTACACCAGGCATCAAAGGGCTGACTTCCTGTCTTTAGGAATAGGAAAGGGTTATTAAGATTTTTGTGGTTTTTTTTAAGACTTATTTATTTTTTTGTTTGTTGGTTTTTTGAAAGGCAGAGATCTAGCCACTGATTGGCTCCCCACTCTGCTCCCCTGCGAGTGCTGGTCAGGCTGAAGCCAGGACGCTAACACTCCAGGACTCTCACACAGGCGGCAGGGCCCCAGCGCGAGCACTGTTGCGGGGATTAAGGTGTGCGTTAGCTGGAAGCTGGAGTAGGACGGGGAACGTGGTCTGAGTAGCAGCTCAGACCCAGGAGCCTGCTATGGAGCGTGGGCACCACTTGTTGCATCCTAGCCACTTCACTGAACTCCTGACTCTGTTTCTCTAGATACTTTTGTTTTTGCCTCACCTCTGTGTGACACTGTAATAACCAGAGATCCATTCTAGACACACTGAATGTCTGCCACATGAGATGTGGGCCACGTCAGGGTTACACACGATTGTGCAGTGTGCTGGGTGCCTCAGATCTGCCCTTTGCTTATTACTGATGGAGTTTTCTGACCAAGGAGTTGAGGAAAACTTCACTGGAGATACTCTACAAGTAGACCAGGAAAATTTGATAGCCACATTAAATCAATGGATCAAACTATGGAAGTTCACTTATTCTAAAAGTGAGATTGCCCTGTTGGGCCTGTGACTCCCCTACGTGGAGTCATTTCCTTTAGCAGGTTGTCCGAAGCTAAGGAACTGCAGAGTGTCCCCTGCTTTTCTCTCCCTTTCTGGACCATCAGGTTCACAGCAACAAGACTCCTGGATGTCCTAACTTGGAATGCTCCCAGTGAGGTTTCCAAGAGTAGGTACGCTATGAGTTGTCATTTATGAATTCACTATTAATGTCTTTGTAGTAAGCTTAATTTTTTTTTCTGATTTGCATTCATGTTGATGCTTGTTAACTTAGACTATGCGTAAAAAGTTCATTAACTAAAGCAAACAAGATCTGTGGTTGAAATAGAAGTTAAAGCTGGCTGAAGTTAAAGAGCGTAGAGAATGTAGCCCCTGGAATGGGTTGTGGTCACATTCTAATGTGTGTTGCCTGTGAACTGCCCTCCTAACAGGTGAGAAAGAGAGATGCAAGGAGGAGCACCAGGTGACGGCCAAGGCCAAGATGGGAGTTAGGGAAATGCAGGCCAAAGGACACAAGGGCTGAGGTGACCCAGAAGGTGTCAGACTGCAGAGAGCGCTCGAGAGCGTGTGCCAGCCAGCCCCTGGCCTGCAGACTGGAAGACAAACTAGCAACTCAAGCCTTCAGCTTGTGGTACTTAGCTATGGCAGCCCCGTTCTCCTGAACTCACAAGCTAAACACATCGAACATCTGCCAGAGGCTAGCTTAGATGTTTAAAATGTTAAGAAAATGAAAAATACAAAAACCCCAACTTAAAAAAAAAAATCTCACCTATTACAGAGTGTACTTTAAAGCTGAAAAAATTTTGAAATCCATGCATATGCAGGCTCTTTAAAAGGGTCCATGAAAAAATGGAATTTTTACCCCAAAAATGCATGGGTTCAAATTTATTTGCAACAAAAAAAATTAGTCTTACTACAAAAACAAAAAACAAACAAATGTTTAAAGGCAAAATGACAGAGGTAAGAGAGATCCTTCACCCTTTGCTGGCTTTCCAAATGCTTGCACAGCCAGGCCTGGACTGAGCCAGAGCCAGGAAGCCAGCACTCCAGAGCTCCCAGGGGCGTGGGGGACCCAAGCCCTTGGCCATCACCTGTTGCCTCCAAGGCAGCTTAGCAGGAAGCTGGATCCCAGGCACTCCCCAGCCAAAGTGGCAGCTTAACCTAAATGTTGTCATTTTTTTAACCACACATTTTTAATATACACTCGCCATGGAGACTATAAGGTGGACTATCAGCCAACAGACCTTGGAAGGATTTCCTCAAGCCTAGAACAACAAAATCAACAGCACCTTAGAAGGACTGAAACCACGGAAGCAGTACCCTCAGAACAAGCTCCACGTCGAGGACTGTAGGGTGACAGCAGCTGGCCGTCCTAACTCCCTGGACACAGATGCGGTCAGGCTGCTGGGAGCGGCCCTCTCCCCTTCTCACCCTGCTTTCCCCGGACACAGAAAGAAAGAAAGATTGGAAACAGTTGTCTCATTCACTTTCCCGCCCCACTGACTCTGACCGGTGGTCCACACAGGCATGCATCCTTCTCAATTACGTAAACGTTGTCAAAAATAAAATAATACATATAATGATATATAATATTAATTATATATATATACATTCTTAAGATGATGCCTCTCCTAGGAAAAAACAAAGGTCAAAGTGGATGTCGGGGAGACTGCCAATGAGAATAGATTGGGGTTTGCTTGTTTCTCACTTTTAAACAAAAATGATGTGAATTCACTGGATATTCGGTAGGAAGTGTGCCGCAGATGGAAGAACAGCCAGAATAAGACCCCACAGAAGGGGCACTGACTATGGGGAAACCAGCAAAGGACACGAGGCTGGTGAAACTAAACAGGGTTATTCAGGAGTGTTCTTGGAGAACTGGCACTGCGATAATGCTAAGATCTGATTTACTTTAATCTGGGTTATTCTGAATATCATATTAAGAATAGCATGGAGAAGGGCTCGGTTATAGTGCAATGGGTTAAGCCCTCACTGGCAGTACTGCCATCCTGTATCATAATTTACTTAAGTTTTTGAGCCAAGATCAGTAATTAAGTGTACAATAGGTGAGATACCGGGGCTGAATATTTTAATGGATATTGAAGTTGTCACTTCAGAGCCGCATTTTTCTCTTAATTCAAAGTCTCAAAATATCAGCCAATAGCTGCTTTATTTGTTTTAAGAGATTTTCACTCCCCAACTGGCTGTCAGGGCCAGGGCTGGGCCAGGTCCAAGCCAGGAGACAGGGTCTTCATCCCAGTTTTGAAGCCTATGCAGGGGCCACTTGAAGCCACACAGAAGCCCAGGGGAGTGGTGCCAGCAGCGCGCTGGCATCGGATCTGTAGGAAATTCCGACAGGCCTGGCAGTCACCAGCCTGACCAACGTGGACAGAGCAGAGGAAGGGCGGTGCGGGTTGGGGCAGGGGAGGGACCTGGGACGCAGAACCGGGGTGGGTCTGAGCAAGGCCCAGGTGGCTCGGCTCGGCGAGACTAGAGCCCTGGGCTTCTTAGGGGCCAGTCGGACGCGTTCAGGAGCTGACTGTCCTCGTCTTACACGTCAGGCCAGCTCCACCCAGCGCCCCAGCCGCCCTGCTGCCGCCCTGCTGCCGCCGGCCCCTGCCCTCTCCACCGCGCCCACGGGCTGTAGCACCACGGCACCGCCCCGGACCCTCCCCTGGACCGCGCCAGGGCGCAGCCCCGCAGCAGGTTCTCCCCGCCGCTGCCCCGCTGCAGAAAGCGGCTGGGGGGCGTCAACCCAGAGCCCGGAGAGGACCACCCGGCTGACTTCACCCGAAGGGACCCGAGACATAGAACGGCAGCCTGCGCGGCCTCGTCTGGTGTGTCGGAGCTTCGGCTTTCGTGTCTGTGTGATGAAGGGGAGCAATCGGGAGAAGAGCAGGGGACCCCCTCCACTACAAGGGCCGCCAGTACAAGAGACCGGCGGGAGCGCGAGGCTGCACCTGCTCCTGAGTCCTCTCGGGTTCTCGGGAGGTCGGCGAGGGCGCTTAATTCCAAAAGATCTGCTTAATACAGAAAGTGTTTGAATTTGTTGGGTTTCATGAGTAACAGGCAAGAAAAAAATATACACGGAAGAAAACAGAAAGCGCCCAACGTGGGGCTCGAACCCACGACCCTGGGATTAAGAGTCCCATGCTCTACCGAC